TGCTACGATAACAGAATACCACAGACTGCGTAATTCATAAACAAACCACTTTTATTTGGCTCATGGTTTGGAGACTGGAAAGAAGTTCAAGGTCAAAGGACCACATCAGGGGAGGGCCTTCTTGCTGCCACATCACATGGTGGAAGGTGTCACATGGTGAGAGAGGAAGAGAGAGTAGAAGAGGGGGCAGGAAGGGGCCAAACTCATGTGCCCACTCCTGTGGTCACTAACCCACGCTCATGATAACTAACCCATTCCCACAATAACTAACCCATTCCCGCAACAATGGTATCGATCCACTCCTCAGGGCAGAGCCCTCTTGACCTAATCACTCGCTAAAGCCTCCACCTCTTAACACTGCTGCATTGGAGATTAAGGTGCAACAAATGAACTTCAGGGCACACAGTCAAATCAGAGCAGGCAAAGGAGAGAAGACGCCACTTTGAGAGGATCTGAAGAGGGATGCAGGGCGGCAAGTCACCCAGAGTCAGAGTTAGGCTGTGAGCTCTCACTGCTTATATTCACATCCTATCTTTGCCACTGGATAGTGAGTGACCTCGGGCAATTTATGCAATTATTCGATCACTTGAAATTTTCACTTCCTCATCTGAAGGATGTGGACAATAATATTATCTACCCATAGAGCTGTGGTCAGGATGAAATGTGGCCATTGTGACAAGGTGTTTATAATAATAGCTGCCCCCAGTAAGAAGCCAAGAGAGGTCGGCCATCGCCATCACTTTCAGTCCTGGGAGGAGAGCCTGTGGGGAGAGTGAGGGGCTGAGGATGACGCTCCATTCTGTGTGGGCCCCGGGGTGGGGGAAGAGGAGACCTGGGGAGGTGCAGGCTGCAGGGGAGGCTGCTGTGTTCAGCTCTGAGTGTGCTGCATTTCAGCGCCCCAGGAGACTGGGTCAGACATGCAGGTGTACGTTGAGACAGCAGCCTGGGCTTTGGGAGTGGGGTCCAGATTGGAGAAGATTCCGGAGGTCTGGGCAGGGAGATGGTGATTGCCCTGTGGAGTTCCACCTGAGGTGAAAGGAGGGCTCTGTAGACTTTGAGCTGAGCATTCCAGGAACACCCAGGTAAAAGCAAGATGGAGACAGGAAGTGTCTGAGCTCAAGTTCCTAGAAGCAGAGCCAGGGACGGGGTCTGGGTGCCTGAGAAATATTGAGACAAGGTCTCAGGAATGAGGGGCCAAGATGGGGTGGGAACAAGCTGAGCAAGGAGCTGACTTGGTCTGATCCATGAAGGGAGAGGGGCTTGGAGCAGAAATGCCTCTGCAGAGCTGTCCTTTGAAACAAGAGGAGAGACCTCGTATCATTCCTCTGTTGATGACACAGTGTGTGTGTTTGTCAGGGGGTGGGGGGCTCTGGATTAAGGGGCCTTTGTCAGCCGAGGGCAATTCTTCCTATTCGAGGGTCCCACACTCACAGCAGATGAAAGAAGGTGCGACAGTTCTGGAAAGGGAGTCTCGGTAGGCACAACAGCATTTATGTAGGAGGCAATAAGGAATGCAATCAACTAAAGCTCCTCCTGCTCGGATCTCTGGGAGGCGGAGTAGAAGGCGCCTCTAAGAGTCACTCTGTGCAGGGGGGTGTGTGTCGAGGGGTGGGGGGTGGTGCTTACACCGCAATTCCCGTCAGTGTTTGGTCCCATATAGCTCCACGTGTTAATTATTGGCACCTTTGGCTACTGGGCAGAGTGAGCTCTGAAGGTCGGGAAAAGTCCCCAGGTAAAGATGTGGCGGGCACTGGAGGCTGGGCAGGCGTGCAGGTGGAGGGGTCAGGCTGGAGGTGGGCAGGGCCAAACAGCGTCTGCTACAACTTTTAACTGAAGACACAAAAGCATCCGAGACGGAGCAGCCAGAGGTGGGAGGAAAATCAGAAGAACGGAGCTGCGGGGCGTCATTTTCACAGAGGCACAGGGCGATCCGTTTCACCTTCTCCGGCATCCCATCTCATTGTGTCTGAGCACTTTATCCCGCCAGCCTGGCCAGCCGCGGCTCTGAGAAGCCCAAAAGGGGTGTCTGCTGAGCCACCCACAGCCGGTCCAACCTCAGCCTGGGGCTGCCAAGGCACATTCGCGGTCGGCGACAGAGGGGCTGGAGATCTTCCCTAGAAAATAATGAGCGGAAAAACCTTTATTGATTAGTTAAATTCCGGGTAATCCTGGCTGATGAAGACAGATTCGGAAACCTCAACGGATTTAGGGACCCAAAACGACTCCTGGGGGCGACCTGGGGCGGGAACGCTCGCTGGGGCTGCGCCTATGCGCTCGCTGGGGCTGCGCCTATGGCCGTAGATTTGCAGTTGGTATCCAGGAGGGGGAAGCTGGAGAGAGCCATTCTTCTGGCCGCCAGGGCGCAGAGGCGTCCCCTAAACGCGGCACGTAGATTTGGCAACTGCGAGGGCACCCCGGGGACACGAGGATCGTGGGTGGATCGTGGACTAGCTCTTTGTCTCTTGCAGACGTCTCCTAAACGGCAAGAAGTGCTTCTCTGGTCTTGGCTGACGCTGAGCGAAGTATAACTTGACGCTGGGCTCTGAGCGGATCCCCACCACGTAGGGCGCGCAAGTGGATCCCAGAGCCTCGGCAGCAGCGGGGACACAGATTAGCGCAGCCTCGGGTGGGGGTCATTTCTCACTGTAGGAGGCAATGAAAGTGTCCTCCCGCGCTGCGCTCCTGCCATCCCCACGCTGCGAAACACAAGGTGACCCAGGACCCAACTCCCCACCGCTGGGGTCCTGCAGGCCTCTCGCTGACTTTGGGGTCCCGGGATGCGTTAGGAACGCCTCAGACCAGGAATTGCAAGACCCCTTAGAAGTTCGTTCCTTCTCCATCTCTGAATCCCCTTAGAGCCTCAACACGGGCTCCTTGATCGGGTCTCTTGCTCTGTGTCGCCCTCCCCACGACTCTGTCTGTGTCCGATGTGACTGGGTTAATAAGTCCCAGTTGCTCTCACCTGTAAAATGAGTTTACGACGATTCTTTCCAAGGATTTGGAAACTGGGGTGTTCTTGGCCCTGCGCCGTGGTCACCATAGAGAGTGTCCAAGGCTGGGCTCCCACCGCCTGGCCTGTTGGTGTCTTTGAATCACTGGCTATCTACTCTGGGTCTGTCACTCCGGTGATCGCCTACCTTCCAGGGAGACCGAAGGGAGGTAGACCCCAAGACCTGTCCCAGGTGAGGCCACTTGGTCAGCACCCGGGGCTGCAGGCGCGGCACCTTCTTAGTCTTTCCACTCGCGGACGACCCCGGTCGCGCCACCTTACAACCGACTACTCTGTCTGCCTGACCGGTCTCGGGCTACAAACTGTGTGGAAGCGTAGGTATCTGCCTTAACTGCGACCCCAAATTCGGATTTACAAACGACTACGCAGTCCAGTGTGCCCAACGCCTTCCCTAAACCCAGAGATAAATCTGGGGGAAAATTCCTCGTGGAGCCGAAAACAACGCCGGCGTCTAAAGCGTTCTCCCCCGAGCTGGAGCGATTCAAAAGACAATTATCTCAAAGGAAAGTTATTGTTTTGGTAATCCCGGGAACAGCTTGCAAGGGGAGATTTGGGTCTTCCTTTAGTAATGGAAAGTTAATGCGCAGACTCCTGTAATTATCCTTATCGGAAGCCTCTTGTTTAATCTGCATGTTTAGCTGAGGCTCCACTCGAATGCGCAGAGAGTGGGAGACCCACTTTGCAGGGCCCAGGCTCGGGCTCCGGTCCCTGAGTACGCGCAGGCAGCCGCGCCGGGTTCCCGCAGAGCTCAGGCGTTTGCTCCTCCCTCGCTGCGGGACCTCCAACTGTAGGCCCCTCAGGGAGTGGGACTGAGGATATCTGTTTCCGGGGTTCTGGCATTGGGAAGGGGGGACTCAGGGCTCCCAGCGATGAGGGCTGGTGGGTTCAAAGCGCTAACCAGGAGTGACTTACCCACGTGATTTGGGGCCAACTTTAGCTAATATGAAAGTTTCACTGATTATTCAAAGAATCAGGCTTTCTTTGAATAATCGTGAAATCGGACAATAAATTGTAAGCCCCGATGAAAAGGTGTGCTTTCCAGTAGACAGACCCTATTTTATTCCAATTTACCTCCCTCCACTCCTCCCCAATTTAGGGTTGCTGGATAAAATACTGATACATACTCCTACAAACAAACAAACAAACAAACAAACAAAAAACCCTCCTTGTTTATCTGAAATTCACATTTCATTGAGTCTACCGTGTTTTGTTGGTTAAACCTAGTACCCTGCCCGTCTCAGCCCCCGGCAGTCCACTCCTGTCTGTGCTTCTCTCCCTTTCCCCAGCTGGTGAGAGTCTGCAACCCCCTACAGTTCAGCCGGTGGAGAGTTGGGGATGGACTTGGTGGTGGATTTGGTTGGAGGTAGAATGACCATGGATTAAATACACGGTTTTCATTCCTTTCCCCTTGGGGATTTTCAGAGAAGGCCTTCTTGCAGGAAGGCCTTCCTGGCACCGGCGGCGGAGGTGGAGGGCTGGCTGGGCACGTATAGGTGGTAGCCACCGGGGTGTGGTTGGCAGTGGGGTCCCTAGGTCTTAACAGGCAGTTGGGTCACATCAAAGAAGCTTCTGGGCAACCGGGAGTGGGCCTCCACCCAGAGTCTGGAAGGAAGGAGAAGACCACGCCAGGATGTAGAACTTGCGACTTTTCGAGGGACAGGCAGAGAGTGGAGTCATTGTCCCTTCCCTTCTTTCCTCCCCTCCATCCTAGAATGGGGTGGGGTGGGGTGGGGTGGGGTGGGCTGGAGAGAAGAGAGGACAAGGAGGTGACCGAGGGGACTGCAGCTGGGAGGGCGGTAACCAAGGGGAGGGGAACTGGTGGCGTCCCCATCTCGCGGGTTCCGGAACGGCGACGCGCCGGCGCCCAGCTGATTGGAGCCCTTCAGGCCTCCCGCGCCCGACCGACAGCCCAATCCTATAAAGCTTCCTCTAAGCTGGGCCCTCCGCAAACTGGATCCAGAGAGGCTCGTGCCTTGCTTGCTAAGAAACCATGACCGGCCGGGACGAGCTATCCGACGGGCGCACTAGCAGCAGGGCGCTGGTGCCTGGCGGTTCCCCCAGGGGCTCGCGCCC